TGTACTGATGGTTTTGACGAAGATTCTGTGAAACTCATAGCTCATTATTATGATTATTTAGAATATCTGGTCCTGTGCCCCCTGCAGACAGTCCAGCTTCTCTGGCAGGCAGTCACAAGACGGTGTCTCATTCCTTACTGCATTGGAGATTCACCTAACAGATAGAACGCGAAGGTGCACTCCCCACTCAAGGGGCAGTCCAAAGAAAAAAATGCAGCCCCGAACGTCCTGGGGTGAGAGCATTATTTGACAGAATTGCAAGTTGGCCCACAAGGCATAGACCGCATGTGTGATATGCCACTGACCGACCGAGACACAGCCCAGGACCTACCAGGCTTGGAACATCCTCTGGGTAACCTGCAAATTGAAGGCCAGTGGCAATCTGGCACGCCAGCCTGGTCACAGCAATGAGGGTCATCTCTGTGATGCCTGTTCGTCTCCTTTCAGTGAGATCCTTCCCAATCTCTGTGTTCTGACTGCTGCTAATGCTTATCCACAGTCCCTCCCGCCCGTCTTATACGGCATTTTCACTTTCTTGCAATTTACCTTCTTCAGCTTGGTGTGGATCATCCGCTCGGGGAGGCAGAGGGTAGTAACCATCCCTGCCAGGGATGGAGGCTTTACAATCGAGATCCTACAAGTCGCAATTAGTGCCTGTCAAGTTGAACTGGGCTATGCTTGGCCTGGTCATTGGTTTCATCCTCCAAAGCATATCTCTTCTTGCATTCTATACGTCCCGGTCAAAATTTATGTGACCGTTGTCCATGCCTCGGACCACCGGGAGGTGTGGGGAAATAGCACCATGGTCCAGGCCATGATTGATGTCTGCCTTTCTTTTTGCACTGATGGTGTTTTCTTGCCTCACCAAACTGTCCGCACACTCTTTTGTGCCGTGTGTGTGTGTGTTTGTGTGTGTGTGTGTGTGTGTGCGTGCGGACAAAAGAGTGTGCGGACAGTTTGGTGAGGCAAGAAAATTACATCTCTGATCCTGTGCCACAACACAACAGGAGAATTTGTTAACCCTCTACGGCCTTCTGCTCTCCTTGACAGCTACGGACACTGTTGCACTTGGCTGTGTGGGCATCAGCCATTGTCTCTGCCATGCTCACTACAACGCCGGGGTTTCTGAATCAGTGTGTGGAGAAGTATGCCCCTTCTTTCATGACTGTGTACACCTTCCGCATTCAGACATCATTTGTCCATGTTGTTGGGGCAGGTACATTACAATGAATACGTAGTTGACATTACAATGAATGCATTATCTTCTCTTCTGCGATGCCTGTTCCTCCTTCCTGCGATGCCATTTATCGGGAGTGTTTGGTGGGCGCGCTTAATGCCAGCTGCCATGGCAGTTGTTTTGCTGAGAATGCTCAGCGAGATCTTCCATGTCATCACCCAACTTGTCAGTACCGTTCATATCTTCTCGGTCATCGAGGACAGACTGACTCCTGAGTCTTCTTTTATTTACCTTCCCTTGGTATTCCTTCCATCTTTCTTTCCGAATTTGGAAAATCGGATCCCCTCTCTGCCGGGTCTTTCATAGCTGAATTTGGGGTAACTTTCAGTGTACATACTGGTATAATGAGCACAGGTGTTATGCTTGGGTGCAGAGTCTGCAGACGGTAGTGGACATGCAAGTTGACCCTCCTCCAAGGTCGCTCGGACTGATGCCGCATCAAACAGACTCACAGAGGGGGATGTGGGCAGCTTGCACTCAACCACATCAACATGAGGAGCCTAGTACGCAAGAGGCGCAGTAAAAGGGGGAAGCTAAAAGGAGAAATAATAACCAAGCTACCACGAAAAAAGCCAACGTTAGTGTCTTATTGGCCGCCTGACCTGACGGTTGGTTGCCTTTAATTCAAAACATATAAATCTATATGGTATGGAAATTGAATTTGTTGAGGTTCATATAACAAAACAGCCATCAATGTTTGATAATTAACTTCTAAATGAGATGGTTTGTTTTTTAAAATTCGGTTATATCTTATATTTTGTTTGATGGTTGACTTGCAATTTTGTTGAATAGAAATAAGATCAACGAACTGCACAGAAAAAGGCAAAAGAACAGCTTCAGTCTGCTTCGTGTCATCTGCTATTCTTTTACGTTTGTTTTGCGAACTGCACTCTTTTAGTTTATAGTACTTCATACCTTTATAGCATACTTGCGGCGCATCACGATGCGCTGCACTGCGCACGTGCGCCGCACCGCGCATCCCGCACGACGCGCGCGCACTGCATGCGGCGCACCTAAAAAAATGGGGGTCAAAAAAAAAAAAAAAAGTTGTGAGGGGCAGTAGTACACCCGGCCCCCTGCTCGCGTAAAATAAGAAACGGGCAGCCAAATTTTTTTTGGAGGCCACGCATTGGCCTGAAAGTTTTTAGTAACCTGTAGTTCGGGTAACACTATGTGTGTGTGGTAGGGTATTGCAGTCTGTATGGTAGGGTTCTTGCAGGCCAGATTCAGTCATGATGAGGGTCGCGATTTTTCAAAACGTTCTCTTCTTATTACTTCGGAAGTAGAAAACGACGGAACTGACAGCCGTTTTTCCTGGAAT